CAAAAGGATGGAGTAAGACGAATTTTGAGGTCCCTTGCATTATTTTTATAGCTCTGTATTTTTTCCCAGCTTTATTGAGGTATCACTGACAAAATTGTAAGATATTTAAAGTGTACACTGTAGTGATTTGATATGTGAATACATTGGGAAAGGATTCTCACCTTTGGATTAATGTATTTGCTTGTGTGTGTGTGTGAGAACATTTAAGTCCTACTCTCTTAGCACACTTCAGTTACACAATACAGTGTTACTGAATTGTAACACTGTATTACATTAGATCCCCAGACCTTATTCATCTTACAGCTGAAAGTTTGTATCCTTTTACCAACCTCTCCCTATTCCTCCCACACCCCAGTCCCTGGCAATCACTTTTCTGAGTTAGACTCTTTTTTTTCCACATAAGTGATACCATGCAATATTTTTTTTCTTTGTCTTATTTCACTTAGCATAATGCCCTCCAGGTTCATCCGTGTTGCAAAGAACAAGATTTCCTACTTTTTAAAGGCTGACTAGTACGTGTGTGTGTATCACATCTTCTTTATCTATTCATCCATTGATGGGCACTTAGGTTGTTTCCATACCTTGGCTATTGTGAATAATGCTGCTATAAACATGAGAGTGCAGGTATATCCTTCGGATAATGATTTCGTTTCCTTTGGACATATACCCAGAGTGGGATTGCTGGATTGTGTAGCTCTGAACTTTAAAGAGGGGTAATTAACTGAACATGTTGAGGACCAGGTAGAAGTTCTTGGTGGGTGGTAGTGGTCAGAAGACAACAGTTCAGTGATGAGAGCTGAAAACTTGCGGCTCAAAGCTCTGGCTCTGCCTTTGCATTCCTGGGGATCAGTATTATATTGTCGCAATTATTCCATGAAGTACAACCCTCTTAGATTTGTGGAGAGGAAAGGTAACTAAAAATGATTGTATAATGCTTTAAAAATAAAGATTTTTATTTTTTAGCCTATGACCAGTTTCTGTCTACAGGAGGAAGGTCAGCAAAGCCGTCAAATGGTCTTGAAGATCTCTGATGGTTTTCTCCATAATCCAGTGACCCCATTACTTTTTCTCTCTCCAAATTCCTTCTCAACTTCTCTTTAATAAGAGTCCCTGGTACATCATTTCCTTCCCTCCAGCTCTATTGAGATGTTATTTACATATAACACATGTAAGTTTAATGGGTACAATGTGATGGTTTGATACATGTATAGATTTCAAAATGATTACCATAATAAGATTAGTGAACTTCCATCCCCCCACATAATTTCCTTTTTTGTGGTGATAACGTTTAAGAGCTACTCTTAATAACTTTCAAGTACATAATACAGTGTTGTTAACTATAGTAACCATGCTGTACATTAGATTCCAAGCTTATTCATCTTATTGCTGGGAGTTTGTACCCTTTGTCTGGCCCATCTTTATAATCACTCCCTTTACACACAATCAGCTACCTCCATCCCCGATCCCTTCCCAACTGAGCTCTCCTAGCAAAATTTGCCCCTGGTTAAATCTCTCTGCCTACTCCACCCCTCCCATCCATGCCAGCACCCAAGCAACACCCAAGAATGCGACTGGAGAAAAAACACACAACCATCTTAACATAGCAAAACACACACCACCTTAACAATTCTCACCTTCAATTTATGATGTCACATCTTAAGTGGGCCCATAGGGCTTCCTTGCAGTCCTACCATATATTCCTCAAGAATTCGCTTGCCCATTTTTCAAGATGACTATTTCACACTTCCTCCTCTCTCCCCAAACCACCACCATTTCTCTTTTCCTTTCCAGTTTTTTTTAATTTGACTGAGAAAATAAAAGAAATATGAAGAAAACATGCACATACTCCCATCACCAAATCTACCCACCTGCCTGCTCCTGTGCCCACTGCCATGGCGGGTGCACCTGAGCCTGCCCGTGCCTGGCTCCCTTCTTGCAGGTACAGCAACGAAGCCAACCTTACAGAGTGGCCACTGTGTGCTAGGCTCAGCTGTAAAAACCTTATACATTAACTAATGTGAGGTAGGAAGCAAACCTGTTTTACAGATGAGGTACACCAAAATTCAGTAATTTGTCCAAAATCACACAGCCATAATAAATTTGTGTGGCTGCAGAGGCCCCATGTGTAGCCACTCCATGAGGCCTCATCTCCCGGGATTTTCCTTCAGCTGCTGCTTTCCCTCAATCCTGCATCATTCCTTAACCCTCTCTATGAGCTCTTACCCCATCGACTTACAAGCAAATTCTAATATTTCCTAAAAACCTACCCTTGACCTCAGATCCCCCTCCAGCTACCCACTAATGTCCCTATTCTCTTTTCTCAAATTTCTTGTAAGAGTTTTCTGTATTTGCTGTATCTACTATGTTTTTTTCTAACTTTCTTTTCAGCCACTCCAGTCTAGCTTTTATCCTTACCATTCCAAGGAAACAACTTTTGTCTAGGTCACAAATGACCTCCACAATGTCAAAGGCAGAGGTAATGTCATAGCCAGAGAGACATTCTCAGTTCTTAGCCCTTCAGAAGTGTTTTCTTTGTGTGGTTTCCTTATACCACTCTCACCTTGGTTTTTCTTCCACCCGGTGGTCACTCCTTGTCTTCTTTGCTGGATCTCCTCCTACTGGCCAACCTCTAAATGTTCCTATGCCCAAAGCTTGGGGTGGACAACTTCCCCTTCTCTCCGCACTCATTCTCTTGGTGATCTCAGCCAGTCTTAAGGCTTTAAATACTATTCATAAATTGATGACTCCTAGATTTTTATCTTTACCTTTGACCTTCCCTAGGCTTCCAACACTTCCATTTGGATGTCATAGGCCTAGCCATCACACAATTAATATGTCTTAAATAAAATTTTTAATTTTGCTCATTATCCTTTAGTTCCCATTTTTAGCAAAGTGGGGTCTTCCTCCCACATCCCACATTGTAATTATCAGCAGGGCTCTATCTTCAAATGACCTCTCAGAGCTGACCACCTCACCCCGTATCCAGGACTACAGCCTCATCCAGAGCACCAGCATCTATTCCCTGGGCTTGGAAATGGCCTCCTGATGAGTCTCCCTGCTTTGTCTCTTGTTCTGATATAGCCTCCCCTCCACTGTGCAGCCAGAGTCATTCATCATAAATATATGTCAGATCTGGCCCCTCCTACCCTTCATTCTTATTTCCTAGAGTCTCTCTGTCCCTCCTTGTCCCCCAGCCCAGCCTTCGCATCCTTTGAATACAGTAAGCCCACATCCACCTCAAGGCTTTCGTCCTTGCTTTCCCCTCTTTCCCCCTCTGCTAGGAATGCTCTTTCTAAATTAAACAGGTTAATTCACTATTTTGGTATGATTTCTTTACCTTATTAGAAAAGCTTTCCTTGATCTCCCCATCTAAAAAACAGTGCCTGGCATTGCCTACCTTCTTGCCAGTTTTAATCAGAGTGTAATGTGGTAACATACGTCGGTTTGGTGTGTGTCTCCTTGAGCAGCATGTCAGCCCCATGAAGGCAGAGACCTTACTGCTCGATTCCTAGTGCCCGGAACGAGGTGCTTGATAAATGTTTGTTGATTGTTTGGAATAGTGACAGGTATTAAGTCCTACAAAGTTAAAGGATAGGAATGAAAAAGATTAGATGCGATACTTTTTAAAAAGTAAGACAAACAAACAAAAAACCCCTGTAAATGGTGGATGGAAAGGGGTTTGTGTGGAGGAAATGGTCTAGAAGCAGAAAAGGAGAGTCTCAGGTTCCTGGGTGGCTTCACGGGTGCAACCATGCCGAGGGTGGGGATTTGAAGTCGTATTCCTAGAAATTTAAAATTGATGAAACAGTGAAATTGGGGATCTTATGTTCCCTCAACCTACTTCACGTGAAGCATTGAAAATGACAAATTGTAAATTTGACTTCTATGATGATAGAAATGATAATGATTTTTTTATGTGTTCCTTTTCTGGCTGTCCTTAACCAATATCCCATTTCCCAGTTCTCTTTACATTTGAACTGAGAACGTTGATGTAATGGTTTACAGTCTCTGGGGCCACTCCTCTGTAAAGAGAACATTCCGGAAGTGGATTTATGTACCTCTCACTTTAACATTTAACATCTTGTTCTACTCACTGATGCAGAACAAGAATGGAAAGAAAATGGTGCCAAAATAACAAATTCTCTTGTTTAGTATTATAAGCTATAAAAGGATTGGGACACTCTCGTTAACTTCTGTTAGTATTTCAGTGTGCTTTCCAGTGGATAAATCTTTAATGACCTCCAGAAAACAGGAAGGGGGTTTTTCCTCCCCCTGTAAATATAAATACGACAATAAAAGTCCATATCTCCTGAATTTTGACTCCAAATAAACATGATGCATAATAATTATCTGCTATAACTATGATCTTGAAAATTTAAAATGTAGGGGAGTGGCGGGCACAAAATTCTGCAAAGCTCGCATGACCCAAATTTGGCAATAAGATTTGTTTTGAAAGGCCAAGTATGATTATTTTGTAGTGTTTGGGTCTTTTCTTTTCTTTTCTTTTTTTTTTTAAAAGATTTTTATTGGGGAATTGGGGGATGGGAACAGCGCTGGGGAATTGGGGGAAGGGGAACAGACAAGTTGCTGTCTTTTTGTTCTTCAGTCTAGTTGTGGAGGACGTTGCTTCACTGGCCCAAGTTGGCACCATCATTGCGCTCTTCCCGGGCGAGGCAGATCAGTCGCTGGCCTCTGGATGGCCGCTCACGGTGGCTTGAGTGCCACTCACGCTGGCTGCTGCCTACACAGCAGGGGCTGCAGCCTATGCCATCACCGGCGACTCACAGCAGCCCAGCTCCAGGTTGAGCTGTTGTTCAGCATCTTAGCTGTAGAGGGCAGTGTCACTGGCCCTCATATGTGGTATCCGAACCGGGGCCCTCTGGCATCCCAAGCCAGTTCTTAACCATCGTGCCACTCGGTCGGCCCTGGGTCTTTTCAAAAGATTCATTTGTAAGCACTCCCTGTACTTTTTCTTTTCTCATTGACTTCTTTTTTCCCAGAGGGAGAAGACGAGGATGAAGAGGATGAGGAAGAAGAAGATGAAGAAGAGGAAGATGAGGAAGAAGACGAAGAAGATAAAGATGCAGACTCCCTGGATGAACGCTTGGATGGGGACCCTGAGCTCCGTGGGTTTACTCTCCCTGGCATCACATCCCCAGAGCCTGGCCTAGAGCAGGACCATGTGGACCTCCTGGAAGGAGCCACCTACCAGGTTCCGGATGCCATCGAGTGGGAGCAGCAGAATCAGGGCCTGGGTAAGACTCATGAGCAGTTTCCTTCCCTCCTTGCTACCCTTGCTTTACTTTTCTAAGGTGACAGCTTTCTTTTATTGGCATTGATGATGGAGCAAAATAGATTTCCTGTTCATGCTTATGGATGGTTCATTTAGAAAAAAGTTACCCGTTTTTTTCTTTAGTACGTTTATATTTAATGCTCTTAAATAGACTGGCTCCAAGCAGTCTCACTACGAGTCTCACCACCCACGAAGAGCATGGTTACCTAAGTTTTGGAAGGAGTTCCATCTTTCCTACCCAGATAGAAGACAGCTGTAGGATTTGGGAGGACTTCCAAATGCAGAGGAAATGTGCATAGCCAATACGCTGAACAAGCAACATGAATGGCCTGGAGTCAGAAAACAAATGTATTTTGTCACCCTCTCCCCTTTTAGGATTTGCTCCCTAGAAGAAAATCTTTTCCCCGCGTCTGAGTGAGCTTTCGGCAATCAGTCCTGTGACTTTTGTGTTTATTCTTAGGGCTGCATTCCGTTGTCAAACACAGCCTCATTTTGGCAGCCAGTGTCTGGACAACCCCATGCTTACTCTCTCGTGCATGGCCCGCATATTCTGTGAGAGACCCTGTGGATGCACGCTGACCCCCAGCTTGGCACGATCTTCCCTGTCAGCGGGGAAGCTCTTCTGTCTGTCTCCTCTTGGCTTTTTCAGAAGAGACACTATTAAGCGCTGGGTGGTTCCTTGAGGCCTCAGTCTCTTGACCTGAGGTGAAGTTCTTCAAAGAACCTCTCCCCCCTGAAATTCCCTTAGTCTTAAACAGCTAGGTCCCTTTATAATTTTCAGTATAGCAGAAGTTAGGTTTAGGAGTCATGTAACTAGCTTCGGGGGATTTCATTGAAAATATGGATGTTGGTTTGGGACTTTGCTCTGGAATATCATGCTAGTGTGTCTTGGTGCCTGGTTGAAACTTCCAATTTAGAAAACTGAAGGCAACAAAAGAACAATACAAGCAAATAAAGAAACAAAAACTCATAGACACAGACAACAGTTTAGTGATTACCAGAGAGTAAGGTGGGAGGGGGTAGTAAAAGAGGGAAAAGGGGCTCAAATATATGGTGATGGAAGGAGAACTGACTTTGGGTGGTGAACACACAATGTGATGTATAGATGATGTATTATAGAAATGTATACTTGAAACCTGTATAATTTTACTCACCAATGTCACCCCAAAAATTTAATAGAAAATTAAAAAAAAATGGAACCCTATTACATATGATTTCTTAGAAATTGTTCTCTCCTCCCATGAAAACTCTCTCAGATCAGTGGTGAGCAAGGGTGAGTGTGTTAAAACAAGTACGGAATGGGGAAATTGCAGCATCTGTTTATCGCATGACTGGGTAGTTTAAAGCAAGCTCTGTTTATATTTTTAAAGCTCAAACTGGAATTGGTAACCTTTAAAGGTTTGCGATCAAAAGAGGAATCCTTTTCATAACTTCTAGAGCTAAAGAAACATGCATGAGGAAGTTTAATGCCATCTTTTTTCCTTTATAGAGGCCTTTGATGAACTGTCCTTTAAATTTGGTTAATTAATTTATCCACCACACCTAACTAAGCACCTCCTTTGTTCCTGGCACTTTGCATGGCATTGGGAACACAGAGAAAAATAAGGCAGCTCCTTGTCTTGAATAGAGCAGAGCCCATTTCATAAAGGTTTCAGTGCAGGGAGAGTGAATTCTATAATAAGAGTAGGTTATAAGAGGGCAGAACAGAAATGTAGAAGGGGGCCATTTATATTAGGTTGGAGTGTGCAGGGCCGTCCGTTGTAGGATAAACAGGTAGGAGGTAGCTTGCAGGGGAAGGAGGCCAAAGAAAGAATATGCACCAAGGCATTGGAGGGCTGAAAGAGCATGGCACATGCATATGGGTCGGCAAAGACATTGTTTTATATCAGATTTTTTCTTATTATAATAGTTTACCATTTCCCTAGGTGTCTCTTACTGTCACTTCTTTTTCTGATAAATTCATTTTATCCACATGTTTTTGGCATTGTGGGTTTTCTGGGAACCAAAACAAGAAACAAGCCTATCAGGCTATCCTTTTTTCCACTGTGGGAAGACTGGTTTGAGGAGTGTCTAGGTCTAGAATTTTATTAGCCCTTCAACTCTTTCTTGGAGTAACAGGACTATCTCCTCGTATTTAAAACCAGTAACAACTTCTGGGTCAATATTAATTGATACGGTTTCCTAAATACTCTCATATTGGATAAAATAAAGGAAAACCTCCCCTATTTGTGATGAGTCTTGTGGTAGGTAGGGTAACAGCTCCCCAAAGATATCTATGTCCTAGGCTTTGGAACCTGTGAATATGTTACCTTATATGGTAAAAAGGACTTGGCTGATGTGATTAAGGACCTTGAGATGAGCAGGTTAGGTTATCTGGGTGGGCCCAGTTTATTCACAAGGGTCCTTATAAAGGGGAGGCAGGAGGGTCAGAGTGAGAGGAGGGGAGATGATGGTGGAGGCAGAGGTCAGAGTGATGTAGCCAGGAGCCAAGGAGTGCTGGCAGCCTCCAGAAGCTGTAAAAGGGACGGAGATGGATTCTCCCCTTGAGACGGATCCTCCTCTAGAAGGAACACAAACCTGTGGACACCTTGATTTTAGCCCAAGGCCTGTTTCAGACTTTTGACCTGCAGAAATGTAAGATAATGAATTTGTGTTGTTCTGAGCCACTCAGTTTGTGGAAATTTGTTACAGCAGAAATAAAAAACTAATACAGATGTCAGTAAGTATTTCATAAGCAGCACCATTTTAGAAAGTAGAGTTGCACGGCAGCTGTAGTCAGAGTGTGAACATTGTAAAATTATGTCATTTCTCCTTAATGAGTCATTAAAAATGCAAACATGGAGACCCTTTAAATAGTAAACCTATTTAGTATAATAACACTTTAATTGGCCGTCTTCTTCACTTTTATTTTTAAGTGCTATGTATGTATAAAATCACATCCTATTTTCAATATGAATGGTATTCCAAAGCAAATACTTTGGGGAAAAAACCCATCTAAACTTTGAAACATGAACAGATTGGAGAAGTGGGTAGTTGGGATTGGCTAAAAATAATGCAAACTCTTTGAATAGATTATCGTTTTGTTTCCTGTGAAGAGCAGAAAACTTAGATGACGTTTTAAGGCAAAGCTGTAGATTCGAGGCCTCAGATTCTCTGCACTTCTGTTTTCTGCGCTGTCACATACTCATTGTCTCTAAAGCTTTGGAAAGAGTGAACTCAGCTTCTTGATCTTGCTGTGGGAGCTGTGACTGGGGACTGAAATGTGTGTTACCAGGATAGAGAGCATCAGGAGTGAAGGCCCCGTGTTATGGTTCAGGTGGATTGACTTATTGGTAAAATGCTAGTAGCATACGGGAGGCTCTTTATTCACGTGTACAGAATCAATTTTTTTTCTGATCGCTAATAAGTTCCTTTTCAGATTCATTGGCAAGAAACTGTACAGAGAGCAGATGCTTGGTCCACGTTACTTCTTATTCTGTTAGGATGATAAATCACACAATTATCTTTTTTTGCAGTATAGAATTGATATGACCAAAGTTGAGTCAACATATCCGTTTTAATGTTTAAACATTTCTGATGTAATTAGTCCCTGGAGATGCTTTCCTTTTTGCATTCTGTATCTGCTAGGATGTCGTTAGCTACAGGTAGCAGAGAACTTAAATTGCCTTAAAGAGTAAAGAAAAAATTTTTTTCTCGAAACAAGAAGTCTAGAGATAGTGCTGTTGGGTCAGTTGTCTCAGTAGCTCAACTGTCATCAGTGATCCAAGTTTCTTCCCTCTTGCTGCACTGTGGACTTGGTTCCCAGGCTGACTTCCTTATAGCTGCAATGGCTGCAGCAGTTTCAGGCCTCACACCCAGACAAGACGTTGTCCATGGAAAGAAGACTGCCTTTTTGCCATGTTTCTCTCATAAAAGTGCGGAAGCCTTTCCAAGAATCCCCTAGTAGAATTCTTGCCTCTTATTGCCCAGGATTGGGTCACATGCCCATTTGTAGCAATCATTGGCAAGGAGAATTTGATTACACAATTGGTGGGACAGATGGGGGATTGGTGTCAATCACCACTCTTATCACCCTTGATTTCTCTGTTTTTCTCTTTTCTTCTCTTGTAGCTGATACTTGTTCATGTCTCTTCTATCCTGTAGGAATCCTATGAGCAAACTTCTTAAATTAATACCTTTATTTTAAATATGTTCTGAATGAGGACCTGAGTGTGGCATTATTCCTTTTTTTTTTCCACAAGAAGAGACCATTTTTTGACACTCTACAGTTTGGTTGATGTTCTGGATGGATGTCTTCCAAGAGCCATCAGTTAGTTAAGGGCAGAGTTGTTATAGCTGTTTTCATTTTTTCAAAAGCCTGCATCTAACCTTAGAATGGGCTCCTGATTTAGAAAGTGGAATATTTTTCTCTGGAGGTCCTTTAAAAACCTGATAAATACTCAATTAACAGCCTAGGGATGTTTGTGGAAAGAAGAAGAATGAAGAGCATTCATGTATCTATTTTTTTATCAGCTATTCATTGAGCACCTACTATGTGTGTGCTGTATGTTGTAGAAATACTGAGAGCTGACTTACAAAGAGATTTATTGCCATGAGGCAGAGAATGATTCCGTAGATGTGAGGTCAGTGGCCGATCAATTCCATAGTGGGGAACTGAGTCCTCACTTACAACCAGGGTTTACTTTGGGTGACAGCCATCTGTGTGGTGTGACTTCAGGGGTGTTTTACCCCTAATTTATACCACCCTTCCTGCCTTAACATGGTGTCTACTTTTCAATACGTGTATTAGAGCCTTCCCTTGGGTTCAGATAATGTACCGTGAGAAGGCCTTAAAAAAATACAGATCTGCTATCTGGGTAGATAATCCATTAAGATTCTACCACTTATTAGTAATTATTAATAATTTATCAGGTTCATTAGCTGGTGGTTTAGTATGATTTTAAGATTAAAGAGAGAGGAACA